CGCTTAGAGAGGGCTGAAAGCCCTATGAAGCGGTATATAAGTCCACTGCTATTGCTATATTCTCTCTCTCTCCCTCTCTAACCCTCTGTCTACCTACCTACTTTTTTTAAAAAAATTGCCTCTTCAAAACCTTGGTGCGTCTTATACTCCAGTACTTCTTATACTCTGAAAAATACGGTAATCTTTTTGCATTTCCTTAGGAAATTACACAATTCTCTCAAAAACATTTTCTACTTGGCAATTAGAATTTAAAACTTATTTGTGTGTTTAATTAATACGTTTACTCATAGAATTACCAAAGTACTGAAAAGCAAAGCATATTAATAGACAAAATAAAAGCAATAACATTAAAGTTTTAATGGAAGGATGGGTGGTTAGCCTATCCCTTCTCAGCAGTGACCCTTAAAATTACTACTTTTCCCATGTAGCAATGATACTTTAAATGACTTTTCATTCTCTACAATGGAGAAAGTTCAAAATAGTGCAAAACTACTTAGGTAAAATTAGCTGCTTGCTGAACATTAAAATTTTCCATTGAGATAAGAGCATAGGATGGATGGCTCGCCAATGATATTTCAGGAATAGAAATTACATAAGCCTGCTTAAATATATCCCAAGGCAAGTGAGGAAATTATACAATTATTACAAATTGTCTTTGCCAAAATAGTTTCCATCATCATCTTGCCACTTCTGTAATGTCAAGCACATTCAAACAGATTGTTGATAAACAGAAAAATTAAACAAGCAATATAAAGATTTGCCAAATGCTGCTTGATAATAGGTTTTCATTTTAATAATTTTTTCATTATCTCAAACGTCTATATTCAGAACTACCACAGTTTTAATATGAGGTAAAGAAAACCATGCAAAGGTCTATCAAAAACATTCAAGGATCTTTTCTTCAAGCACAAATCTATGAATAAACAAACTTTCAGGAATCTAATACTAAGATATGGTTTTTCTAAACCTGAACAAATATTACATTCAACATGGTTCAGTCTTTTTAATGCTCATATTTTGACCCATTCTCTGAAGTTTCAATAATTTTCCTTCTGCTAGCTAATAGTACATTAGCTAACATAAAAAGCATTTCATAAGACTGATAAAAATGCAAAATAATCATATTCTGCAATCAATAGCATAGGTGAATCTTTAATGTCACATTCAGAAAGGCTTATATTCTTCAGCCATTTGTATAACATGTTACAAATCTGCTTCACTCCCCATTAAATATTAAGAAACATTTGATTTGTTCATACTAGACTAGTGACCCCGATTTTCTAATCAGAACACAATGTTAATTTTTATTTCTGCATAATAATTATATACTGTACTTCAAAAGATATTGTGATTGTGAAACTTCTTATGCTAAATACAATATTTTGTATGCAAGTTGCATATATTTCTTATGTTAAGCATAATAAACATTATGCAGGAAACCCCAATATTGTTTTTTGGATTCACCAATATTCAAATCATTTTATTTTTATTGTACTCATTGTTTTTTACTTAGGATAAAACTTCTGAAGCTAAATGAAATTTTAGGCAGCCTGGATAAAATTGTAACGGGGAATAATTCTTCTACTTTTCCCAGACCACGGCTAATTCTCCTTTTCCCAGACCACGGCTCAAGTAGTCTTTCTGGTTCCAGGCACAGAATTCTGAAATTCTGTGAAACTGAAAGAAAAGGCTACTAGGGGAAAAAATCCCATAAAGAAACAAGAAAGAATATATATGTATATATATAATTATAATTATATTATAATTATAGCTATATATGATTATAGCTATATATTATATATACATATTATAAAGATATAATACTCTTGAAATACCTGATCAAATGTCATAAGAGAAACAAATCATACTTCTAATAGTAACAAATCAGTTTTATTCCTAACAATCAGTTGTTTTTTTATTTTGCTGCCTCCCTAGGACTAAGAGAAGTGACTAATCCAAAATCATCCATCTGGCTTTGCATCGAAGGCAGGACTAGTCTGAGGCCTTAATCATTAAAAACAAACTGGTTTTTAGCTGTCAACTTAATATCCTGTTCTTAGAACATAAATCATAAAAATAGATTGTATCCATGGCACAAACTAATAAAAAAGTATATTCAACATCTTTAATGTTGCAAAACTTAACCGAAATCCCATTACTAATAGCATACAAAATAAAAGTGACAAACAATGGAGCACAACAGGGTGTTCAGAAAACCACCTGATCTTAAATAGCTTAATGTGTAAATTCACTTCAATTTAAAACTTCTTCATACTTCTTATCCTCAAAATACATAGCTTCTTCTGCCTTGTCGTTTATACTTTTAGTCAGAAAAGCACTGTAATAATAAAACAATATATTATTACTGTAAAAGGAGAATTTAAAACTGTGCTTGTTAAAAATGGTAAAATCTCAGCAGAATCCACTCAGCTCTTAAATAAATTTATAAGTTCAGATATCCATAGATTTATTTTTAACTTAATACATAGTTTAACAACATGATCTTTGTTATCCAAAGCTGTGAATTCCAGTTGGAACAAACCTTATACTTCACCCAACTTTACCAATGTTTCATGTGACTGATACAGTAGAATCTCTGGTCACGAACGCTTCTGACCATGACCAAATTGGATTCCCCCCCAAAAATCACTTTTTTTCCACAGCAGATTTCCCCTTCTGCGCCATTTTTTTGTAAGCACCAGTTTTCCAAAATTAGGTTCAGATCACAACCAAATTGGTTTGCAACCAAAGTTATGGAATGAAATATGGTCATGACCAGAGGTTCTACTGTATGTAACTATGTGGCATATATATATCTACCAGAAAGAAAAAAGGCAGGGCCAGGACAAACCCTACCAGAGGTGGGTTGCTACTGGTTCAGCCCAGTTCGGCCAAACTGGTAGTGGTATTTTGGCCTGGGTCGCAGAACCGGCAGTGACCCAGGATGGCCTGAATGGTTCCCTGGTGATTGTTTGTTTTTTCAATTTATAGTCAACTGTGCACACACGAGGGAAGCAAACCAGCAGCAACGCCAGCAGCAACCCACCCCTGAACCCTACCTACCAAAAACAACAACAACTCAGAAGTAAAAAAAGGTTAATTCAATTAGCCTTAATAGTAGCGATTACTATTATCTGGAAAATTAAGGGCCCCTTTTATAAAATTAATTGATGTCCTATCTTTATACACCAATCCTTCTTTGTCTCATGAATAAACTCCTCTCAGATACAAAATCTTGCAAATAATCCTAGGTACACACACATAGACACACACACACACCTTTTCTTCCACAGAAAAAAGTAAAACAATAGGAAAAATCTGAAGGTGATAGAAAAGATAGCTTTGGGAAAGAGAATAAGGAAAACTAGAGTGGAGGTCATGGGAAAAGGAATACAAGAGAAAGCTCTATTTAGGTGTTTGAAAAAGGCAAATACTTTGTTTAAGCAAGAGCTAATATCTGCTTGGTCTTTGTTCTAGTATTTATTGTTTTTATTTGGTATGTGCCTATATGTAAGTGAAGTGCAAGAATTATTTCTCCAAAGAATAATTCTGTTGAATAACAGATATTAACTGTCCCAACCCTACCAGAGAGCTTCCATGACTGACTGGGAATGTGAACATGGATCATAACTTCATAACTATTTTCCCACATTGGCTATCCGCATCTAAGCATCTCCTGTTCTTTCCAGCAACTTTAAGATCCCTTGCCAAGGATTATTTAGGTGGAAATAATGTCATATTTCTATGTGATAATTATGTTTATATATGTCTATAAAGAAGGCCTATTTCTTTCGAGCTCTTTCTCTAACTGGTTCAGGATATTATTATTCAGCAGAAAAACAAAAGCATTTGTCAAAATCAGAGCAAGGCTTATTAATAGAAAATGTTGAAGAAAAAAACATCTAATACATTTGGAGCACAACACAATTTTTTCTGTGAAAGCGTTTTCTGCTGTTGGGATGCTTTGTCATTGATAATTGCCTCCTCTTAGAAGCCACACAAATAGGAAAAATAAATTAAAATGTCCCACCTACTGTGGTGATTTATTTCTTCTACCTGATCTTCAATGTAAAGGAAGAAAGGCAGGCAGGAAAAAAGGTTAATACTACATTCTTTCTCTGTATAGAGAAGGAAACTATAATAAAAAAGAGTGCTACTGCATTTTCTACTGATAAAAAATCCGCACCTTATGGACAGAAACTGTATCTAAGATCTCATAAAAATAATTCAAGATTTGTTATAAATTATTTCAGAAATATCACTTCGTTTTCAGACTTTCTAAAATAAAAAGACATTTTAGAAATATTAACATAGATTGTACACTTTGTCTTACCAAGACTGAATTCAAACTTTGGTTCATTAACAAACTTCTTGAGACCTATTGGTGAAAGCATATATTATATTACATTACATTACTATATTGCATTATAAAAGTATTCATACATGAGAATGTGTATATTGTATTACAGTAGCTACAGCATTAAGGAAAGATTTCCATCACCAGCATTTTAGACTATCACACAAGAGCTGCCCTTCTCCATTTTTTAAATCTATCACTATTTTACTAACTGGAATTATTTATACTTAACGAACACATTTTATCACCACTATTTATTCACACCATTCACTATTCAGGGTACATGCTCATTCCTTCCCCATTATAATGAAAAGCAAAACATATTTTCACTTCAGCAGGTTGTATTACTACATACTGAATGCTATAAAGATGTTAAAGTACTTTATATTCTTTAATGGATTAGCCCATCCCACTTGCTCCTGCATAAGAAACTTGCTTCAAATCCCGTCTGCCTAAGAATTTTGGCTGGCATGGTTCAGAAAAAGAGTCTTTTCTGCTGTGGTCCCTCCCAGTGGAATATTCTACAACCAAATATGAAATTGGCTCCCATCTCCTGGCCTCCAGGAAGAGCCTTAAAACCCTATTCTGCCAGCTGGGATGGAGCCCTGCAAGGGGTGCTCTTTGCTCGGGTGGCTGACAGGGTAGAGAGAGGATTCCCACCTCATGTTGCCTGTCCTCTTGGTTTTTACTCTTTAACTAATCTTTTGTAATTTTAATTAAATTGTTTTGTATTATCTTTTTACCATTTTGTAAGCCACTCAGAGTCACGGCTACAGTAGGATGGGCGGCACATAAATCTAACAGAGAAATATTACAAGGCAAAATAAGGTTACAACTTAAATTATGAAGAATTTTAAAATGAAATTTGTTTGTCTAAATGTCATAAATTCCAATGAATGGTTTTTTAGCCTGTGGAAGGCTGCTGTCAAAGCCAACATGCTTAATTTAGTATGCTTAATTTAGGATATTGAGACTTTTGCTACTTCATTTAGAACAGCAAATGTAGCTGTTACTACATCATTAACTGTTGTAAAGCTTTTTGAAGCAGTTTCACAGTAATAGAGCAATGATGAGCACACTAACCTAAATATCTAATGATTCAGAAGTACAATCAACAGGGTTCAGCAGACTGAGATATGAGATTTGGAGCTAATCATTCTCCAAATCCTGTTGCCAATTTGTAAAATGGAAATATATTTTATCTATGATATTTTATGAAAGTGAGTACCTACACATTTAGAATGAGTTTTTCTAAATCATTCACAGGATCATGATACAGCAGACAGCTTATATATTGGATTTACTTACGTGTGAGTTTAGACTCTGCATAATTATCCGCCTGTGCAGATGGAATAAACTGCTGTTCTTCCTCCAGTGCTCTCTCTTCCTTGATATCCATAGTCAATCTCTCAAGCCACCAAATTTGAATTCGCAGTTCTTCAGAATTTACCTGGGTGCCAACAGCCCAAGATTCACAGCCAGTCTTAGTCCTTGGTGCAGCTTTAAGATAAAGATCTGGTTCTCCAGACTGGAATTCTGTGTTCAGAAAACATTTGATGAAAAAAAGAAAAAGAAAACATTTGACGAAGTTCCATTAATCCAAACTTTACCATACATCTTTTTGAAAATTAGCAACATGATGTTTCTAGCAACAATTTTGCACATATTTCCCTCCTGTTACCAAAACATAAATAATCAAGCTGGTGTTTTATAACCAATCCTAGAAGTAGATAGCAGCATGAAACCTCTATTTCAGTGATGGCTAACCTTTTTGTCGAGTGCCAAAAGCACGTGTGCACACGCAATCACCCATAATGCAATGTGCATGTGACCCCCCACATGTGCACCCTCCCCCTCACACATGTGCTTTTCCCATATGCCCCCACCTGCCCCTCACATGCACATGTGACCCACACACATGTGCTCATGACCCCATGCATGAGCCTCATCCCGACACATGTACTGTGACCTCACATGCATCCCCACCCACCACTCATGCATGCGCATCTCCCACATATGTCTCATCCCCCTCACGCATGCGCAGCAGAGACCCGAAAACCAGCTAGCCAGCGGGAGGCACGCACATATGCAAGGTGAAACTGAGCTGAGGCGATGGCTCGCAAGTCCGCAGAGAGAGCTCTGCGTGCCACCCGTGGCATGGGTGCCATAGGTTTGCCTTCATGGCTCTATTTGGTACATTTTTTCAGTCCTCTCTTGGCAAGACAAAGAACTGCANTCAACCCTGAGCCGGTGAGATTTGAACCGCTGACCTGCTGATCTAGCAGTAGCCTGCAGTGCTGCATTTAACCACTGCGCCACCTTGGCTAATAAGTTTTGGGAGTTTTCAAATTCCTTTCAACAAATACCCTAGCATGACATCTTTATAAAAAGAATTATTCTATGCAGAGTTTACAATTTTATGAAAAATCATTTGCCCACTTTCATACTTGTTGAATGTCTGCATATTGTCGTCAGTGAATATTATCGGAATGCCCGAGTAAAGAGGTAACACCAAAATTGGTGCTTGTCTTATTTCATAAACCAAATAATTCAACATATGGATATTATAAAAGTCACTGTGCCTTTAGAGTCAATAAACGATCGTAACCATCTTCAACTGCAGCAACTAAAATTATCTAGTTTTAATTGACAATCAGTTTCTCATAATGCTGGATAGGAATTTCAGCTTACTTTTCCATAGGAAATGCATTCAGCTAATACACTTGACAGTTTTCTAGATTCATCTGTGTTTTGGATGCTATCACAATCATTACGTAAGATTTACAATTGAACTTTGACTTGTCCATTCCAAAATGCTATTTTTTTCAAAACCTTGCTTATAAGGCTGTGGTCTATGTCTGGCCCAATGACCAACTACTCTTCAGTTTCAACTGACAAGACAAATGGACTGATACTCTCCTATTGAATTTTTAGATATGTAGCAGAATTCACAAATGATGCCAAGCTGTCCCTATCTAAAAGCAGCAACTCAACTCCAAACTAAAACATCACCAACTCCATGCTTGACATTTGCGATCATGTCTGGTTTCTGCTATGCATAATAATGCTCATCTAGCCTGAAAGGTTCTGCTTTTAAACAGTTCCACTTAGTGTCTGTTTAAAAAATAACAAAAGAAACTTCATCATCTCTAAAAGGTAATTCTGTCCTGTTTTCTACATGATGGACATCCAAATATTTGAAGCTTTATTAACAGTACCCACATACCTTGTAAGTCAACTCTCCTCTACAGGTCTATGTTTAATGGGGATAAGGAGGCCAACTGTGTTATACGCACAAACATTATTTTTATATTTTATATTACTATTTATACCTAGTATCCTGATCATCTATATTCACTTTACATAGTACAGTAAGTAAGGCAGGACAGAATCTGTCTTTCTAGATTTCAGAAAATTATATGCATGATAAACTGAAAGACATACATTTACATCCTTTCCCTTGTTTTTGAATAAACGACCAGGATATTTTAAGTACCCATATTAATTACCGTGTCCTCAGACAATAAAGTTCAAGATCAAGCTATGTGATTTTTTTATTATCTGATTTATAAAGCATTTCAGGCTCTATTATTTGAAATTTAGAAATTATGGAATTGAAGATAGCACTAACTGCAATGTTTTTTAATTCATATAGAGTATGAAGAAATTCAGAAATAGAAGTGATTAGTATCTGAAAAGAGAGAAGAAAAGGAATGCATAAAACTGCAACAGTTCTCTTAATTCCAAAATGCAGAATTTGGCCTAGATTTGGAATCCTTTCTACAGTTTCTATAATTCTGTGTATCTTGAAAAGTATCTTCTGGTGTTGATATTTAATTTTTTCTCTAGGTGGGTATCTTTACATGATCTGATATAAAAGCTTTTTATGCTCAATACTTTAGGATAAAATGGAAGTTTAAATTGTAGAGTTTTGTAGATGTTTTGTAGAAATGGTTATCACCAAATGGCAATGTTCAAAAAGCCAAATACATAGCAGAAAAAAAGTCAGTGCTCCAATAAAATTCTTTAGACAAATTATGAGATCTGAAACTAGCACATTGAAATAGTTCAAGAGCTGAGTTCCTGTGATTCAAATTGACCTTCAAGTAACCAGAAGTATAAGACAGAATAAAAGGCTGGTTTACAGCATCCAGCATAAATTGACAGGAAAAAAAGGTGAAACTTGAAGGCTTATCATTTTCCCCCGGTGAATTTTGTTCACCTATAAGAGTGCTATGTTTCAAGTTTGCCAAAAGCCAGCAAATCAATTCAGCAGAACTCATGAGGCCTTTTTCAGGATCTGCTGCATTAAGTAACCTAGAAAACTGTTAAGATTCAAAATTATGTGTGCATGGAAGGTAAGAATGACAGCAAGTGACTACTAGCTTCTTAAAATTATACAGAGAACTGAGGACAGCAAGAGAATATATATATTTGCCGTGATGTTCACCACATGCAATGGAAGCTTAAAAATATTAACTTCTAGGGTGTTTTTAGTGGCCTAGTATAAATTACCGTCCAATTTGCAAGTCTAAGATAACACTAATGAGAACATAAACTAGGATTCTCGTTAAACAAAAATCATAGATTTTAGTGCTTCCTTCAAAGTAAAGTCTTAAAGGGATGGAGCTCTTGGGAAATTCAGTGAAACAACCAATTCTGTAACTTGTATATGTCCTTGGTCTAGAGCCAATAGAACAGTTAATCTTATTTGGAGAATGGGAGTCTGAAGTAGAATTCTGAACAGGCGCTGGGCATGCTTCCAAAATATTACACATTATACNGTGCCATAGGTTTGCCTTCATGGCTCTATTTGGTACATTTTTTCAGTCCTCTCTTGGCAAGACAAAGAACTGCAAAAGCATATTTCCCTGGAGGTAAAAGCTCAGATGAGTAGATTTACTGTTACAAAACTATAACATCATTACAAAACAATTCCACCAACTGCAGTGTATAAAATGCAAGCTCAATGTGTAACGATCAGTGTTCAATTTTTTTCCTGTTATTTCTCCTGTCCACTTTAGGTAAAGGGCTAGAAAAAAAATCTCTTTGGTAGGAAATACAATTTCCATCCATTCCTGTCTTTTTTTTTTTTGGTAACAACTGCATTTTATTTTGAGTTGTTTACTTTTGACCGTGTAAAAACCAAGTTTCGTATTTAGAATTTCAGCAAGAGGTTTGTTCATACTTTTAACTTAAAATTTTTTGTAGTCTGAACAGAATTAATCAAATGTATTTTTGAGATTCATTTCAGAAACAAGTATTCATTATTTGTTTTTATTGAAGCTATACATTTCAAGTTGTATATATTCCTGTCAGAACTCTGCTAACCCTAACCTTGTCAATGAAAGTCAGACTGTCTGGGAATTATAACACTTGAAACCTTCCCTGGAACAGTTCCTCCTTCCCTTGCCTCAGTTTCCCCAAAATGAGCAAAACAAGAGCTCTGATCTTCAGAGATATAAGGAATTCTATTATAGAACTGGAGGGATTAGTGCTTTTTGCCCATGTAATGTCTGATCTTGGGAAAAGAATATCCATATTCCCCTCATCACTACTATCAACTAGTTATGACAAATTAAAAGGAATTACAAAGCTTGCTAGAATAATTTAACTTTGAGCTGCAGGAATTTGTGCTGCCTCTTCTCTTTTGCCAATCTTTTCTAAATACCTTGTGAAGACTGCATTTCTTCCATAACCTTGGGGGTAATTTCATGAAAGATTCAAAGATTTACCATGTCTTGCTAAAGTCAGTAATGGCTATCAATGGCTCAGCCTATAACGCCCCAAAAGTATATTAACTCTAAGCTATCAAACAAACAAACCAAAATAAATCAGAGGAGTTATTGGTGGCTATTTTGTTGTCTACAGGTGAAACTAATCAAGAGAAGGACAATATGGAGTATGACAATAGGCTATTTGAAATTACCTGGCATTACAGTGTGCCAGCAGCAACGCTGATTTCTTTGTTGCCACGTTGTAAAGAGAAATTACGGAGGTAAAGTTTTTCATACCTTCATAGATGTCAGGCTCCAAAAGTAAAAAAAAAAGACATCCTGAGATTCTGCTAAGCAGTTTCCTTTATTGTGCCTCGCCTATTGATAGAAATCTTGACAAATTGAAAGAAACTACTTGCACAATATCGCCAACTGAGCAATTGCCAGAGCTATTTACGATGCCAATAGGAGGCTAATGGAGAAAGCAAAATATATAAATTAAATCAAATGTTCAAAGTTTGTTGAAAACTATCAGCTGCAATAACCATTGCATTATATATATTAACTTTCTGAGATAATAATTAACTAAAAAAACCTCCCAACAGTTGATGCATTTGTGAGATAAAAACATCAAGTGAAGTATGTGATTGTCAGGGTATACCGATGCTGCAGGAGAAAGGAAGCTGAACAATCAGATGTGTGATAAAATATGTGAAAGCACAGCTTTCCCATTTTTTCCTTATTTTGTAGCAGCAGAAACAAATGCACAATCTGATAGCTTATGCATCAATTACATGCATGCTAATATTCAAACTATAAAGAACAAATACTTTCATAATATACATCCTAAACACATTTGCCAGTGTAAGATGTAATATCAATATCATACCTACATTTAAACTATTGGTTAAGAGAAGCCATTGACTTGCTTTGCTGAAATGGTATACCCGACTAGAAAATTCCTAAGTCTACATAAGTATAGAAAAGACCTGCCCCCAATTTACTGAGCTATATAAAGGAAATGAGCTATATAAAGGAACAAAGAAACAGAAAAGAAGAAAAGAGAGAAAGGTCAAAAAGTTCAGACAATTGTATTTTAGTGTAAAGCATGTAATACAAAATTTCATATATAATATGATACCTCTCCAAGCAAACAATGAAGGCCAGAGTTCAACCCTGATCTACATATAAATAAATAAACAAACAAACAAACAAATAAATAAATAAAACAAAGGAAATGTAGTATATATTTGTGTGTACACCCCCCCACACACACACACTACATTTCCTCGGTATTGTGTGTGTGTATGTGTGTATATATACATATACATATACATATACATATACATATACATATACATATACATATACATATACATAT